CTCTGATGCTGCCTGGCCTGCTGTGTTCATCCAGCTCACCATCTTGTTATCTCATTCTCCAGCATCGGCAGTTCCTACTATCTCCTCATGATTGCCAGTGTTGTCTTGCACAATGAGGGTTTCCAGATAGCTCTGGTCAACTGACTTTACCAAAGTGTTCAACTATTGCTGTTTAAACAAATCCATTTAATTGTTTTAGAAAATGGCTTAAAACTTGATCTTGAATTGCACAGCCAGGAACAATTGTAATATTTGGTAAGCAACGTTCTGTAATTCAAGATAATTGAACATTGTCCAGTGTCTGTCCAGTCTTTATCTGACTCAGTATCAGTTCCGAGTGTTGACATAGAAGGCTTTAATTTTTGATCGTAGATCAGAGGAATTCTTAAGAGTTGTAGTCTATCATGAAAATAAAATAACAAATAAAAAAGCACTGAAATCCTCAGGCATTCACAAGTTAATGACTGAGAAGCATAAGAACGGAATATGCAGCAAGACTTCTGGCATCATTACAGAATGAAATAGAGTTCATATAAGTGGGGAAAAATGTGATGTAACTTGTTTTGACCAAATAGAATGCAAGAATGTGGAAGGGACCCCAAAAGCGAAGTCAAGTATTTGACTATAGTCCACCGTAGGTCAAGCTGGGAGAAATTCAAGGACACAAGATTTCATGGTGCAAAGCCAAAGAGAGAGCGAGTATGGAGGAGTTGATAATTGGATTTGGAATAGCAATCATCCAAAAGGAAAGGGATAATGGGGAACTGGGACAGACTCTGGGAAGAAAAAGAAAAAAAAAATCACTTGGGTGCAGAGGTTACAATCTAAAATTCAACTCATTAAGTTCCAAACATGATTAAGTGTTGTCCAGTTGAAAGATGGTGTGCTCCTGTGAGTCTATTTCAGCTTCATTAGAACATTGCAGCTGGCTAAAGAGAAAAAAGGTCAAATTTGGAGCCAAGAAATTTGTCTGAACTGCTGACAGATCATGGCTTATCTATGACCTAACTCCATGAAGACCCATTTGCCCAATACTTATTAATATTTTTAGATTCCAAAAATCTGTTCTTTTCCTATGAAAATGACTTCATCATCTTCAAACACTTGTCGTATGATGAAGAGGATTCCACTGTTTAAACAAGTTTTAATGTACAAAGGTCTCCTGGCTGTAACTTGTATTTAATCTGTCATGCATTCCCCATCTAGTGGGACTAGTTTCTCAATTAGTACTCTCTTCTGTGAGCTGCTCACACTATCTGTAAACCTAAATCTTGCAACTTAAGCAAATGCAGGCAAAATTTGTGCACTTTTTCTGATAATTTTCTGCCTAGTGTGCAGTTGTCAATGCAAGAAATGTATGCTGCATTCCCTGTAAGGTCATTATATCCTTTAGAAGGTGTGGTAATTGGTGCTGCAGGAATAGTTTTGTCATATGTCTCTGCCAACTAAGTCAGGTACAGTAGATTTTTGGATGGGGTGATTCTTGCTGAGGCTGTCAAGTGACAACAGTACCTGTGGTCCAAGGCTCCAACAATAAGTGGTGTCTTCAAAATGAAACCAAGGGACTGACTAACTATATGAATTATCAGACCACAGGAACTTCTCATTTATTTGTGTCTGTAGAAGAGTATTATCATGAAATGTTGCAGACTTGAACTATTAAGTCTCTTTAATCATAGACATTGCCAGATCTGTTAAATATTTCTAGGTTCTTCTGGTTTAAAGATTTCCAGTGTCAAGAATGCTTTGCTTTGCTGTTGTTAGTTATACCCACCAGCTTTAATCAGAGAAAGAATGTGTGCATTTGCTGTTCATTGTTCTTAGCACTTGCACAGTGCTGCCCACCCACCCACCACCACCACCCACTACCACTACCACCCTATGGAACTTCGGCTGTGCTTTTTTGCTTATATGCTCTGATAACATGACCATTGTCTTTCATCTTTCATTGATTTACTGCTTGTTTGTAGAATTTAACATTTTCAGGCAACAGCATTCCAGCAGAATATGCGACATTGGGACTGAAATGTAGCCTTGTTGATTGTCCATATTCCTATTCTCTGGTTTGAATTCACTATGTTTTTGGATCAGTTTTTTAAATTCAAGTTTGTCCTTCGAACCATGCTTCCTTCATGGCCCAAATCTGTGTGTTTGTGTGGGGTGGGCTAAACTCTGTGGTGACTGTGACTTCAGTTCCCCATTATGTAGCCTTGATTGATTGGCCTTGATGCAGTGTGAAACCCATGAGTCCCCCTGACCCCCACCCCCTGCCAGTTCCTGGCATCAGCCTCTTCAAAATTAAGTCAAATCCACTTGCAAGACCTTTTTAATGTTCTGCTGGTAGACAAATGAACAGAATGAACCAAAAGAAAAACTAAAAATGCCCAACAGATGGGAAAAACCTTCAGCTGGTTTAATATGTGGAATCTGGTAGCCTGAGAATCCAGCAGAAATTCGGAGGCATGTTTGCTGTTGAAGATTTGTCTGAATATAAATGTCTAGTTTTTTGACTTGTAGTTCATGCAAACAAACAAGTGAGAAAGAAATGGTGTGCTCAACCCTTAAATGACTCCAGTATGACTGAGAGATTGCGAAGAGCAGGAATTGGTTGTGAGCAAGACTGGTCACCAGATTGAAATTAAAGAGACTCTACCAAAAGCTCATTTAAAGGTAAGAACCAAGTTAGTTTACTTGAGTTTGTTTCGTGGATTCCAACTTAATTTGGAACTTGGAAAGATTCTGATAATCTTTGAGTTCATGTTGAATATCATTTTAAGTTCTAAGTAATGTACATATCTCAGTAATTGTTTGCCTCATGATGATCCTCCGAAAAGAATTTTGAATATTGTGCAAAGTTTCAAGACAAGATGAAAAGTTTAATATTGGATGCCTTGTAGAATCAAAGGTATATTAGTAGTCATGTCTGATATGATTCCTGCGTAATTTCTAAAGAGATCTTCTGAAGCCAAAATGGTTACCTAAAATTCAATGTGACTAAAATGGTCTCATCGTACCCTGATCATTCATGCATTAAAATACATGCCATGTAATTGTTTTTCTGCTCAATTTCTGTCTATTGAATTGAACACACACACGTTGTCCAATCTATTGAAGATGGATGTTGTATAATTGGAACCTAAAGATCATAAACAGTTGCACTGACACTAACAGACTGTATCTTATGGGTCTGAGCAAATTTCTATCCCAAAATGAGAATCTTGGCAGAATGCAGGGGTGTTTGCAAGTCTTATTTCCAACTTAAGTTGTCATTACAAGCAATTATCACTGTCCGGTTTGGAGCTGTATCAGCCATCTCACAAGGAAGTGAGGCAGGAGTGGCAATAGGTCAACAAGAATCAATCCATGGTTAAGTGAAAGAAGTTTTGATGGAATGTTTTTGAGCTCAACAACAGTAGACATATGCCTTATTTTCCTGTCCACTGACAGCCTCTTGCCCCTTCTCTTCCCTATTCCTAATTTCCCTGATTTCTTCATTCTCCACCCGCTCCCACCCCGCAACCCCGCAAAGCAGTGAGGATGTATAGTTCACTGCTTGCTAGCCAAAAGCCTTCCTCACTCTCATCCCCGCCTCCTTGACCTGACTAAACCTGTCTATCTTCTTTCTCACGTATCTGCCCCACCCTTCCCATGACCTATCTCCACAACCCCCTATCTGCACCCACCTATCATCATCCCACCTACCTTCCCCCAGCCCAACACCACTCCATCTATTTATTTCTGAGCTCCCTTCCCCCTCCTGAGTCCTGGTGACGGGTGTAAACCCCAAACATCGACTTTCTTGCTCTTCTGATGCTGCCTGACCAGTTCTGTTCCTCCAGCTCCACACTGTATTGACTCTGACCACAGCATCAGCAGTTCTTGACATCTCTGCCTTCAAGTTTTCTCCACTGAACTTTAGTGTTTGTTTGACCCTTTCGGGTGGGAGTGGATAGGGTGAACATGACAAACAAGCTGGTTCTTGTCCTCAACAGTTGTGCACCAATGCAAGTAGACTTGGAAGCATTACATGTCTGAAGCATTGAGAAACCAATCTGGTCACTCAGAAATGGGAGGCCTCTGGACAGAACCAGGACTAGATGTGTTATGATCTTGGTTGAGATAAGTAATCTTTAGCAAAGTAGAAGAAATCCAAATTCCCAGTTAGTGAGTGAAAGAATCAGGCTTCAAAATGCCACAGTTTAAAGGAAAACTTTGAACAAAGTAATAACAAAAGATTATCTTGGTGAACCTTCTGTACTTTAAAATCAAAACTGAGGTATTTTAAGCACGAGTTAACAAGAAAATAGCAGTCAAGTATAAACAACGAAGTAACAGTAAGTGTAAGATAAAACCGAGACTGAAGAGTTGGCTTGGCAGCTTATCCAGTGTTTTTGTCATCAATCCCGGTCATGAAATTCTTAACAACAGTTTTGAGGAGAACTTCAGATCCTCTTCTCGGATTTAACGTCGACTAAGCTTCTCTGACGTGACAGGAGCAAATGCTGGAGAAACTGAGCAGAAGTGATAGTATCTGTGAGGAGAGAAAGACAGGTAGCGTTTCGGGTCCTTTGAATTATTTTTGTCTCAGTATTAGGGATAGGAACTCTTTTTAATGTGCCGGCGTGCCAGTCCCTTTTAAATGGGCTGGCACACAGTTGCATATGATGGACAAGGAATTATGTCAGGACAGGCAAGTTTCACAGTCTGGCTGCAGGTTTTCACTCTAGAATAGTCATGAGAAAAATAATGTGCAAAAAAGGCCTAAACGCTTTAAAAATGAAACAAGTCATTCCAATGAATTTACTTGCTCGAAGGATGTGAAGGGTGTTCGGATGATTTTGCTTGGAGACAAAGCCAAGATAGAGCCTTGTCGCACATTGATTTGATTGAAACCAATCGGGACAGCAAAGGGGCTGGACTTGGCTGAAAGTTGGGTGCGGCGAAGCGCATGCCTGTAGCCGCAGCTTCGTCTATTCTTGCTGGACTGCCTCCAATTGGAAACCGTCTGGCATAAAGGGGAGGCTGCAGGAGGCATAAAAGAAATACGTTATTTAAAAATTATCGCAACCGGTCTGCGGCTGCAGTTTCTGCGTTTAGCTCTTTTTTGTGTTCGAGTCCGATTGATCAGCGCAGTTATGTCTTATCAAGGCAAGAAAAATATCCCACGTATCACGGTAAGGATTCAGGGCCATTATGGATGTTAGAGGTTGTTCTTTGAAATGCAGCGTTGCATTCAATTTGTGATTTCAGACAGAAATACTGATCCCTAGTGCCTGACTAAATGCAGTGCTCGAATATTGTTTCGATCGCCCGAATTGTCTAATTTGAATTCCGCAGCGACGTAGTTTTAATTTTGTGGGACCAAGGACAGCGACTGTGCAACCCTTGCAGGAGATAATGGCGGTGGCTGAATAGAGGCAGATGGGCGAGATTTCTCTCTTTCTCTCTCGTCCGCCCCTTCCCCTGTGTGTGATATGATTATATGATTTGCTTTTTAAAGGATTTGATAAGGCTAACAAATAGAAACGTCATTCCAAAAAGAATGCTTATTCAACGGTGAGAAATTCGCAAGTCCTTTCCAAAATGCAATAGATTATACGTTTAACGTAACCATTTCCCCGTTTCTCCCCAGCAGCATTCCAACAAAGATGTAGAATATGACAGATTTACTTTTTTCAGTATTATTGTGTTTAATATGATTTCAGTCTCGTGGTTTTATTATTTCTAACGAATTTTATTTCCAACACTGATTCATTTGTGCCATATTTGCAAATCAAGTGAGAATTAGCCTTGGAATATGCTGATTACACTTGTCTGCAAAATTCAGGGTGGTGTAGTAGATTTGAACCTCCACGTATAAAGGAATTCAGGAAAAATTTCACCTGGCTTCAGAAATAATTCAGCAGAAGAAACTGGTGGAAGAGAAAAATCTGCTTTGGTATTTAGTGCATTATGATGTGGAAATGGTGCATTTTTACAAGCAATGTTTTTGATCTCATTTCAGAATCCTTATGATGGTAAATTATGCTCACTTGTCAGAGGAGCAGGTCCCATGTACTGAAAACTGAAGAATATCAGTCTTTAAATGAAATCTTTACAAAATCTCTTCCAGAGTGAGCGCATGCTGGTAAAAGGAGGAAAAATCGTGAATGATGACCAGTCTTTTTTTGCTGATATTTACATAGAAGATGGTCTGATCAAGTAAGATGGTTTTGCTCAGCTTTGTAGCAGTCTTTAGAGAAGTATTTAATAAACCAACCCTTCCATTTAATAAAAAAACCAACCTGTTTGTTATGTACCCAGGCAAATTGGTGAAAATCTGATCGTGCCCGGTGGGGTTAAAGTTGCTGATGCCCATGGACGAATGGTTATTCCTGGGGGCATTGATGTCCACACCCGTCTGCAGATGCCCGTCAAAGGGATGACAGCAGCTGATGACTTTTTCCAAGGAACAAAAGCAGCTCTGGCTGGGGGCACAACTATGATCTGTAAGGTTCTGTTTTATTTTCAACTTTGAGTTTTTATGTTAATTTTCGTCATACATGGAACCCTAGTGTAATTAATTGGAAAAGGAAAAGTATGCAAGTTACATTGATTGGCAACAAAGTTGGTTAGTCAATGAATGGATGAATTGATGTAGAATGTGACCAAGTCACACTATGAAAAGCTAGCAATGTGTTGGCGTTGACCTCCTGCAACTCATGTCGTTTTGGCTATTAGTTACAATGGATGAGTAATAAGTTCAGATTTGAGATGTACCTCATTGTTTGATTTGAATTGCTTATCTCCAACTCCCACCTTCCCCAGCACCCTTGGATTTGATAATTCTCATGAATGATTTTTAAAATAAATGTTGTTCTTACTGTTTCCGTTTCTTGTCCCCTTTAAGTCAAAAAGGAAGGAAATGCTTCTGTGGCTGCCAGCAGCCCTCTGGTATTGTGCTCATGTGACAATTCTTTGCACAGAAGAGGAATCAGGGCTAAACACTTTTTGAAAAGTGGAAGGGGACTGAGACAGCTGAACCTGAGACCATCTTTGGGGAGAAATTTGGGAGGATGGACAGTGCCTGAGGTTCCACGTGATAGGCCGTGTTTCAATTGCGGGGTGCTTTTCTTTTTCCCCCAAAAAGACCAACTTACTAAGTTAGCAGGGACCCAACATTAAAGATTTGTTTGTTCAGCCAGACCCACCAGTAGAAAGCAAACCTAGGATTTAAAGGGGCTTTGCATGTGGTTGGATTCAGCTGAAGGGCTGCCATAGAGCTCGAGATCACCAAAATCTTGTCAAGACCTACAGTTTTGGAGGCCCTGCACGAATATCTCCTGGAGAAATTGTTGCTGTATTATCAGCAACAAGAACCTTGATGCTCTTGTTTTTATTTCTCGCATATGAACATTAGAAAGGGTTGCCCTTAGTGGGCCTTTGTGTGCTTGGTGCCTACTGCACCATCCACAAACATGAAGCCTGATTTCCAATGTTGGCTGCACTTTACGTTAGATCTGTATCTTAACTAAATACCTTGGTGTTTTTTTAAAAATAGTCAGTCTCTGTCTTGAATACATGTGACAACTCGGCATTCGTAGTTCTTTTGGGTGAGAATTGCTATGATTCAGAGCTCTTTCAGTTCTGAATTGCCATCCGCTTAGTTTGTGACATTGAACCAGAGTTCAATGCATCACCAGCCAGAGAAAACATCTTACCTTTGTATGAAACTTGTAACAATTTTTTAGGTTTTGATGAGATCAATTTTTGTTCATAAAAATTGTACAAAATAGAGATGAGGTTGAATGAATCTGTCCACTGAATCTTTGGTGCCCTGCCTATATGGCAGACGTGTACTTTGTCAGGTGATAGGATCAAAATTCCACCGATGAGGAGATCAGTTGCAACAATCATTGAGAGACTAGCTTGGAAAGATCAGGAGTTGAACTTGGGAAGCCACTTGCATTGAGTGGTGATCTAAGCCAATTTGAACTTACAAACCATCAAACAAAGGGTGGTTGAGTCTTTTCTTTATTTCACAGTGTTCATGGAAGGTACTAAATTGATAACATTGCATCAGGAGTGCAATTGATGCTGAAAATCAGCAGAAATGAAATTGAGTGCAATTTTGGCAAATCACAATCCGTACACAGTTGTCTTAAAGGTTACACTTGAATTGTGGGATCACAAAGAAGTTCGGCAGTCTTGCTGGAGTGGACTGGGTGCAGTAGAGCTGTCAGCTTTTTGACCCAGTTTGAAGTCCCAGCTAGAGTTTGGTCAAGTGCTTTTGGGCACCATCTGCATTCATCAGCCAGAGTGTGCCATTTATGAAGTGTGCAACAAGCTGAATCCCCGTATGTAAAATCTCTTGGCAAGAATGCTTGTTTCAGCCCATATGCTGTCAGCTGAATAAAGCAGCACTGTTCAAAATGGCTATGAGCAGCTGCATGCCAAAGATTTGGGAGTTTTGAAGCAATGTGAGTTACGATTGCTGTCAATGTCCAGTGCCTTGACTGAGGTTGAGAGCTTCAATCGACCTGCAGTTGGCTTGCAGAAATTGAAGTGCTTGCTTTGCTGCAGTGGGCTTCATGTGGTTAGATTGGATCTCAGGCTTCTGCTGAGTTGCTGGCCCAGTCAGGGCATCAGTTTGGAGGTTGGAATTGGCTTCATTCCGAGTTAAATTATGGAGAGGGAAATAACTTGGGCGAGGTCCCTTAAAATGTGCATGGACACAGGGGATAGCATATTGACTTTGTGACCTCCACAGTCAAAGAGTCTATCCATCTTTATTGTTTAAGATCATGTGGGAAAACAAAAGGAATACCCGTGCCTTGGGAATGGTAGTACATGAAGAATCAGTGCCTTCATAAGAGAAGGAAAGAATATTGACAAAAATAAGACAGCCAATCCTTGTATCTAAATTTGGAATTTGCTTAAGCTATCTGACAAACAAAATTGCCTCTTGTTAGGGATTAATATAAATATCTTTGCAGTTGGTGCTGTGTAGCCCTTGACCATCGTGTCTGGCATTACATGGGAACTGGATGGACTTAAATTTTCCTAAAAAGGTTTTGACTTTTTTTTTATGTTGCATTTTTAATTTTGGCAAAAAGGGTTAGTTTTGTGGAATGGTACAATAAAATATTATGCATGTCCCCCTTCAGAACATTGAGTGTGATTATGTGCTGTATTTAGAATTCGTAGCCATTTTAATATGGCACTTGCTTAAATTTGGATTGTTAGGCTTCTTTACTTCTTTGCTCTCGTTTACTTAAAATATTTGCTTGTGTGCACAGACATTTTTTAAAAAGAACATACATTGTTGAACAGTTATTTCTTTCTGAACAATGTTTTTCCTTTCATGCCTGTAATGACATAAAGGACTGATGTTGCATCGAGGTCCTTTGCTGCTTCATTCTGCATATTTTGTGTGAGGTTGTAGCATTGAATCTAGTCTAATGCTATAAGCTCTGAAGAAGGACACTGCATTCTCCCTTGGCCTGACCCATTGAAGTTTAACAATGATTATTCTATTTCAGGTTGGCCAACTTAGCAGTCAGTAGTTATTAAGCCTTTGCTGTATGCCCAACAGGGAGAAGTGAAAATGGCCAGTGCATTGCTTTTGCATACTTATGGTTGCCAGTTGACAGCATTATCAGAATGCCCTGAGTCCACTTGGTGTTTTCTCACCTCAGTGGTGCTGTGGACTGTAACAATGGCCCATCATCCAGGTCATGTAATGCAAACCAGAAATTACCCCACAACAGTGTATGGAAAGAACATGATACTTAATTTACTTAAAAGTGTGGTAAAACCTGAATGTCCCCTCTCCAACTTGTAATTGCTTTGTAAATCCAAGTGGTATTTACACCATTGAAAATGCTGTCACCAGGTATAATCCAAGTTGATGATTTCAGTCTTGTTTATTGTGTACAGTTAGAAAAATATGCTTGTGTATCAATTCGGAAGTCACTATTGTAATGAAAGACAGAACATTGGCAACAGTGTCCCTTCCAATCTTGCTGCAAGGCTGTACCTTTCACTTAGAAGGGCTGTGTTAATTTCTGCACATGTTGTAGGTTTCCATCAAATGAGTCTGTGCATCCATAATGGAGACTTACAACTCTGGAACTTATGTGTAAAATCTTCTTTCCCACCCCGGTAATTTTGTAATTTTACTATGTTCATTTCAGTTGACCATGTGTTGGCAGAGCCTGGAATTAGTTTGATCACTGCTTTCGAACAGTGGAGAGAATGGGCAGATAACAAGTCCTGCTGTGACTACTCTTTGCACGTTGATATCACAGAATGGTATAAAGGTCTTCAAGAAGAGATGGATTTCTTGGTGAAGGAGCATGGTAAGATCATATTATGAAATAGTTAGAAGTGTGTTAAATCTGGATTAATGATATGTACAGAACAAATTTTGACCTCTTAGTAACTCCATGGGCAGGTGTACTGCTCTGCCTGGTACTGCAATCTGTGATTGTTGCTTCTTGAAAAATTTAATTAACAAGATTTTACTCAGCCCTGTACTTGGGACTAGGTCTTAGATTATTCTACAAGGGGAAAAAAAAGTAGAAGGATGGTCAGACACCTGAAACTGTTTGAGGCCATCTCAGTCTGTATGGAATTATAGAATCTCTACGGTGCAGAAATAGGCTATTCGGCCCATATAGTCCACACCGAAGATCATCCCACCAATCACCGCTCCCTACTGTATCCACGTAACCCCACATTCACCATGGCTCTTCGACCTTATCCACACATCCCTGAACGTTATGAGCCATTTCAGCATGGCCAATCCACCAAACCAGCACAACTTTGGACTGTGGGAGGCAACAGGAGGACCTGTCGGAAACCCATGTAGACATGAGGAGAGTGAGCAGTCTCCAAACAGTCAGTCACCCAAGGCTGGAATTGAACCCGGATCCTTGTGCTGTGAGGCAGCAGTCCTGAACACAAAGCCACTATACCACCTGCATCTGACGGTCTTTCTCTCTGGCACAGCAATCCGTTGCCACTTGATAAGAAACATATGTTATATAAAACACTGAGCAAAACACTACTAAACATTTCCAAGATAGTGGGAACTGCCAATGCTGGAGAATCTGCGATAACAAGGTGTAGAGCTGAATGAACTCAGCAGGCCAAGAAGGGTCCAGACCCGAAACGTCAGCTTTCCTGCTCCTCTGATGCTGCTTGGCCTGCTGAGTTCATCCAGCTCTACACCTTGTTATCTCAGATTCTCCAGCATCGACAGTTCCCACTATCTCTGAAACGATTTTAACCCCACTGCGAAGCCTTTTTTTCTCTGAAGAAGGGTCCAGACCCGAAACATCAGCTTTCCTGCTCCTCTGATGCTGCTTGGCCTGCTGTGTTCATCCAGCTCTACACCTTGTTATCTGAGATTCTCCAGCATCGCCAGTTCCCACTATCACTAAACATTTCCGATTTTTTTTTTTTTTTTTTTTTTTATTCCTATCAGGTGTAAATTCCTTCCTTCTGTACATGGCCTACAAAGACCGCTATCAGCTCTCTGATGCCCAGGTAAGGCAGTAATAATACGGCAGAACTGGATGAAAAATGTGCTTGCTTCTTTGGTTTATAACCGTAATTTCTTTGTTGGTCTTTGTTTTATTCACAGATGTATGAAGCCCTGAGTGCAATTCGTGATATGGGTGCCATTGCTCAAGTTCATGCTGAGAATGGTGACATTATTGCTGAGGTAATTCAGTTGCAGGGATGCTACAGGCCCAAAAAATTCTAAAACTGAATTGAAGTTGAAATTTAAAAAAAATGTGCCCATTACATTAAAGAGGTTTGCCGTTTTATGGTGTGCTGAGTTAAGTAGTCTGTCCATAATAGTTTGAATTTACATGGAAATACAACCCAAGCTGACATGAGTTGAAGTTGAAGTTTATTTTCTCTTGATATGTGACCCCCAGTGAAGCAGAGTTTTGGTTTCTCCTGACCTGATCGATAGGAACATGACAGTAGGAACAAGGAAGGCCTTCAGCCCCATGAGCTTGTTGCGCTATTCACTGCTGATTAGCCTTTGCAGCATCAACTTGCTTTGGCTCTGCTTTCACAACTAGATTTAATTGCCCAACAGAAAATGAGCCCATGACTTGACACCACTGACTAAATTTCATGTCATTTCTCATGAACTGAATGCTTTTGGGGGTCTTTATTCAGAGCAGTTTTTGTGGCTCAGGATCAATTAAAATATCTGCAAACCAGCTCTACAGCTGAAGGTTTCATTTCTTTTAAACAGACGTCAACAGGGTCATGTTGAAAACATGACTGAAGTAGGACAACCATGGAAGCTAACTAGCCATTTGAACAAGAGAACTGCAGTTGTGCCCAGCATAACAGAAACAAAATTCAAAGACACCAACTTGAGTCCTGACTGAAATATCTGATCTCCTGATCTGATTGCCAATGCATCTGAACTAGTGAGACTGTTGATGATGCATAATATTTCAACCACACCAATAAATGAACTTTGTAACTGATTGAAATCATTTGATGTCAAGAAAGAGGCTCTCTTTCTAAACCTTATTTGGAAGAATGATACATCTTTAGAATAGTCAAGATGAATGTGACAGTTTTCCGAACACACATACTGGCTGAGGTTCCCTGTGCTTCATGCCACTATGCTTGGTTTAAATGGACCACATGCTCTGCTCCCTTGCCTCTGACTCCAGACCTCTTCCTGGAATTCCCAAGGCTGCACAACACAGTTTTTTCTTGTCATTTTTAATTCCGAGATGAGCTTCAGACGAACACATGCTCTTGTGAAGGCTGTTCATCTCTGTAGCATGATGACTCCACCCCAGGCTCAGCTTGTCTAATGCTGAAACCATGATTTGGTTCATCCTCGTGATGATTCCAAGTCACTGTCAGTTTTGTTCTAACATGCTCCTGTCAATAATTTTGAGGCCATGGAACATTTTGCTGCCTGAGTCCCAGTGGCATCAGCTCCGGTTCACCCATTATTGCTGTGTTTGACATATTACTTAGAACACCAATTGCCTTCAGTTTCAGAGTACAAGAATATTTTACCACAACTGAACTGTGAGATCTTGGTGTATAGCTTTGTTTTCTGTTAAATCTTTGAGAGTTTGGCTCCTTTATGTTTGACTTGGCTCCTCCTTGTTGTTGTGAAATGAGAGGCGGATCATTTTCTTTCTGGTCATTAATCTCTTAACGGTTGCTTCTTGGTGATTCTCTACGCTAACCACCGTACATTGCATTACAGGAACAACAGAGGATTCTTGGACTAGGTATCACTGGACCTGAAGGCCATGTTCTGAGTAGGCCAGAGGAGGTAAGAGGATAACAATCTGGGCTCATTTTAGGATAGCATATTTGCATAAACTCTTGGTGCAACATGACATTTCTAGCAAATTGGTGTGACCAAATGAAACAGATGGTGCAAAATGCTTATTCAGACATGCGGTGTACTGTTATTTTCTCAAACTTTTTTCTCAATTCAGCCATCAGTCAATGACTTTTTCCAAATGGAATTTTGTTGTTGGGAGCTTACACCATGTGTTACATTGTCGATGACCAAATAGATGACCATCAAAATTTTGCCACATTTTAAACAATGCTGGTTCTTCTGCTTTTTTAGTAATTGAAATATAATGCGAATTCAGATGAGTTCGCAAACATATTGCTCCTATGAAACCTGTGTTTATCCAGCCAGTGACCCCAGCCCGGATCTACAGAGTTAGCTACTTACACATAAAGTATAAGATGTATAAAAGTATAAAATATAAGATGAGGTATGTGGTATCACCATTGTTGAAGCTCCCTCGAACAACATCCTGTTGGAAGGTTACCATTGACCAGAACTGGATCAGCCATACAAGTACTGGTGTTACAGGATGAGGTCAGATGCCAGGAATCCTTCAGCAAATAATTCACCTCCTGACTCCCCTGAGCTTGCGCACCATCTGAAAAGTGCAAATCACTTGCCTCTAAGAGTGCAGCTCCAACAACACCAAGAAGGGAATTACAATGAAATTAGGATGGAGTGAGCTCCAGTGGACTGGGCAGCAAAGACAAGTAGGAAGCAGTGGCAGATGTTTAAGGAGGTAATTTATGACTGAGCCAAAATATATTCCAGTAAGGAGGAAGGTTTCAAAGAGAAGAATGAACTAACTGTAGCTACGTAAAGAAGCCAAGGAGAGCATTCCATTGAAAGAAAACACTAATAAGGAGGCAAAAGTCAGCGATAGCTCTGAAGACTGGGATCAATTTGGAATCCAGCAAAGGAGGACTAAAAAGATAAGATGGACAAAATAAAAAGTGAGGGGCACACTAGTGAGAAATGTAAAAGGTGACCATAAGATTTTTAAGTACATAAAAAAAAGGGCTCAAACCGAACATAGACCCCCTTAGAAAATGAATTAGTTATGGGGAACAAGGAAATAGTAGAGGAGTCAAACAGATATTTTGCAACGGTATTTACGATGGAAGCTATTTCAGAAATTGCATTAATACTACACAATACAGGGGAGAAATTAAGTACCAGTAGAGAGGTACCATCAGACAAACTAATGGGGCTAAAAGCAGCCAAGTCCCCTGGCCCTAATGGCTTGAATCCTAGAACCCTAGATAAGATCGCTATAGAGATAATGCATGCATTGGTTGTAATTTTACAAAGATCCTTGTATTCTGCAGAAGTACTAGAGGATGGGAAAACCTTGCTAATGTGCAACCCCTACTCAAAAAGGGAGGGAGGCAAAAGTGGGTAACTATAAGCTGATGAGCCTGACATCTATGGTTGGAAAATTGTTGGAATCCATCACAAAGGAAGCAACAACAGCATATTTTGAAAATCGTAATCTAATCAAGCAAGGTCAGTATGGCTTCATGAAATGGAAATCACAGAATCACGAAGTACGGAAAGAGGCCCTTGAGCCCAACAAGTCTGTACTGCCAAAAACAGCCACTACCTATTTTTGTCCTACTTCACTGCATTAGGTCCATAGCCTTGAATGCGTTGACACTTGAGGTGATCAGCCACATTTTTTTTTCTCAAGTTTTTGAGGTTTCCTGCCTCAACTTCCCACCCAGGCAGTGCATTTCATATGGGTGACAAAGACCTAACTCAAATGTCTTCTGAACCTCCTGCCTTTCACTTGGACAAGTGTTTTCGTGTCTGTATTAGCAAATTACGATTTGCAGTCAAATGTTTCAAGTTGCCTCATAGGAGCATTAAAAACTCGTGACATGACTCAGTGTCACACTTAAGACATTAGGGCATTTGGCTAAAAGCTTGGTCCAAGACATAAGTTGTAATGAATACCATAAAGTGGGAAAGTGAACAAGAGCTTGAGGATTTGGCCATTTAAGGTCCAGCCACCAGCAGTACAGCAATTAAAGTGAAGGATGCCCAAGAGCATCAGATGAGAGTTTGGTAGGGTTGGAAGAGGTCACAGAGTTAGGAAGGGGCTCGGATGAGTGTTTTAAGGACACGACATTGTTTGACTGACAGTCAATGGAGATCTGTAAACTGAAGACAATACACAAATTCGGCTTTGTGAGAGTTAAATCGTGTCTCACAAATGGATTGGAGTTTTTCAAGGCAGTTTCAACCAGTGTTCTCGAGGAGAAGCTGTATCTGTGTTGTATTTGGACTTTGAGAAGGCATTTGATAAGGTACATTTACAAAAGGAACAAGGATATTACCAAGACTGGAGGGTTTGAGTGAGAATGAGAGGCCGGATAGACTTGGACATTTTCTCATGCAGCATAGGTAGCTGACAGGTGACCTTACAGAGATTCATAAAATCAAGAAGGGCATAGATAAGATGAATATCCAAGGTCTCTTGCAGGGTAGGGGAGTCCAAAACTAGAGGTCATGTGTTTAAGGTGAGAGGGAAAGATTCAGAAAGGACTTAAGGGACAACTTTTTCATACAGGGCGGTGCATATATGGAACAATTTACCAGAGGAAGTGGCTGAGGCATATGCAGTTAAAACATTTAAAAGATATTTGGACAGGTACATGAACAGGAAAGATTTAGAAGGATGTGGGCCAAATGCAGACAAATAGGACCAGTTCAGTTTGGGAAACCTGGTTGACATGGACAAGTGGGGGCCAAGGGTCTGTTTCCACCCTGTATGAGTCTTTAAAATGTTAAGTCTGAGGATAACAGCCCATGGTGTTGACGGTCATATACTGCTGTGGATAAGGAGGCAAAAGTCAGCAATAGCTCTGAAGACTGGGATCAATTTGGAAGGAACCAGCGAGTGGGGGTGCATGGTACTTTTTCAGGTTGGCAACCTGTCCCTGGTGAGATTACACAAGGATCAATGCTGGGACTGCAACTGTTTACAATATTTAAAAATGGCGTGGAGGAAGGAAGCGACTGTGAAGTTGTTCATTTTGAAGGGAGAACACAAGAACAGAATATTATTCAAATAGAGAAGAACTGCTGAAAGCTACAACACAAAGGGACTTGGGGTTATTTGTTTGTGAAACATAAAGCTCGCACACAGGTGCAGCAGATAATCAGGAAGGCTCATGCACTGTTGGCCCTTATTTCAAGGGGGTGGAGTTTAAAAGTCTTAATGCAACTGTACAAGGTGCTGGTAAGACCACATCAGCATTTCAGGATTTCCAACACCTCATTTTCCGCTTGGGGACCCTACAGCCCTCCAGACTCTGTATTGAGTCCGATAGTTTTAGGGCCTAAACTCTCCCATGTCCCAGCACCCCCACCCCACACACAAGGCCTTGTTACCACATAGTCTGCCATTACACGCCCCCTGTTGTTAGTCACTAACAGTCCCCATTAACAACTACTCACCCTCCCAGCCTGATCGTTAGCAACTCCTTTGTCTGTCCAACTGTCTTTCTCTCTCTTTGGGCTCTATCCTATCGCTTACTCCCTACCCCACCCACCTCCCTATTTTCTGCATATAAACTGACGTTTTCCCAGCCACCATCAGTTCTCAGGAAGGGTCACTGGACCTGAAACGTTAACTCTGTTTTCTACACAGATGCTGCCAGACCTGATGAGCTTTTCCAACAACTTAGTGCAGTTTAGAAGAATGGAAGGTCATCTCGTGGAAGCATCTAAGATGGGCAAGGGGCTTGTGGAATGGTCGCACAATAAAGGGGCACCAATTTAAGACTGATGTGCGCAGGGATTTCATCTCTGAAATTTGAGAACTTTGGAACTCCTTGCCGCAGAGAAATTGTGTTTGTATAAAGCTGAGATAGATTCTTCATAAGTTGGGGAATTGAGTTATAGGGAAAGGGCCATAGGGTCAGCTGTGATCCTATCCTATTGAATGACAGAGCAGGCTTGAGCCAACAGCCTAATCCTGTTCCTCTTTGCTACGGTCTTAAGTTTGACAGCATCCAGGACAGAGTAGCCCTCTTGATAGATACCACATGCACAAAAAACATTCACTCTCTCCACTACAGTTGCTGAGTCACAGCAGTGTGAACATGGGAATATTTCCTCCAAGTCACTCATTCTTCTGATTTAGAAATGTATTGTTTGGTCAAAATCCTAGAGCTCCCAACTGGCAGTCTGGTGTTTGTACAAATAACATTCTGGCATGACTGATAACAAATTATCTTTAACGGTTCAAGAAGGCAGCTCACCACCACCAACACAAAGGCAACACAGAGTGGGTGATATATGCTGGTACAGCCGGTCCTGCCCAGAGACCATGATGGATTATGTAGAATTACTGCTGGACTGAGTACTGTCTGACTGCTGCTATGGAGTGTTTATTATGGGTGGAAGACAGCACTGATTTCTCTTGAAGTGCTTGTAATTAATACCAAAAGAATTACACAGAAACTGCTTGATGAGTGACTATAATTAGGTTATTCAAGTTAAACATGGGGCAACAGTTGTAATGATCTTGCTTTAAGATGAATTTGAAGATAGAACTTAATCCACAAACTAATGTAGCGTAGAGTACCCCACTAAATCTTTGCTCTTTAAAGAAATGAGAGTTTAGCAATGTAGTATAAGGAGTCATCGTCAGAGGAAGTCACTCTATCTTCTGCCTGCTTCGCCATTCAAAAAAAAGACATGGATGATCTCCTTCAATTTGACTATTTTGCCCTCACCTCATGTCCATGAGTATTCAAAATCAGGCTTTTCTGTCTTTCGATGAAGTCCAGAAATATAGTGAATTCCGAGGACCCTCAACCTTTTGAACACATACGTTTCTTCTGAATTCTGTTCGATGTCTTCTATTTCTAGTCTCCCCTGTCAGGGTAGAAAAATAAATCTGGTTCAAATGGTGTTTGAATGTACTGTTAACAATGAGACCATGAGAAATAAGATCAGAGTAGGCCTTTTGGTCCCTCAAGCCTTCCCCGCCGTTCCGTAAGATCATGGCTGATCTGTCTCAGGCCTCCACTCTTGATAGCCCTCAACTTCCCAATATTCCAAGAAACTGCTCTCCACCTCTTCAAATACTTGTTGTAATGATCAAATGTGTTGCACAGCAGGATGAATCCTGAGCTGCACGAAGGTAGAAACTAGGAACAAAATGAACTGGTCTGAAGTAGGAGCATATGAGGGTCTTTTGTTGTGGGACTTCAGAGAATTGTTGAGGTTTGTGATACAGCTTGTACAGTGGAGTGAATGGAAGCACTGAATCAAATGGTCTTTTGCTTGTATATTTAAGTTTTTCTTAGTGATATTTAATTATTGGTTGGTAAGACTCAATTCTTTGAATTTTTTTTTCCCCTGCGTTGTCAATAATGTTTCCTTTTTGGCAGGTTGAAGCAGAAGCAGTAAACCGGGCTATCACTATTGCGAATCAAACCAACTGCCCACTCTATATAACCAAAGTGATGAGTAAAACTGCTGCAGATATTATTGCCCAAGCCAGGAAGAAAGGTACGTAGAACAAAACTGGAGGGTGTAGGTTTAAGGCGAGAGGCGAAAGATTCAAAAAAGACCTAAGGGGTAACTTTGTTACACCCAGTGTGTTGCAAGCATGGACCGAACTGCCAGAGAAGGTGGTGGAGGTGGGGTACAATTAAAACATGTAAAAGGTCTCTGGATGGGTATGTGAATAGGAAGGATTTAGGGGAATATAGGCCAAATGCTGCCAAATGGGTCCAGGTCAGTTTAGGATATCCAGTCGACATCGATGAGTTGGACCGAAGGTTCTGTTTCCATGCTATATAACTCTGACTCCTAAGACCCCTTCTTGAGTCTGGAACATGTTCTTCCACCCCTGTAACCTTGATTTTAACCAATCTAAAGCCTGTTACATCTGTGATTCTGCACAATGCTGGAGTTTAAAAAAAAAAAAATCAATCAAAGTTATTTTTCCTAGTGTCTGACATTGTGTTACTCCAGTTGATGGATGGTATATCTGGCTGGTGGCCATTGATGCGGCAGTGCATCGATCTCCATGTCTTTCTTAAATAAAATTGGGATTATTTCACAAGAGTGAGTTGGAGTGTTGACTAGAGTAGTGCTTAAGCAAACAGTTACTTGCATATGGTTATCATTTGAGAAAATTTCCAAATAATACAGTGACATCCAAGTCCACAGGCCATTAGAAGAGCCTTGTGGCTGTCATTCTCAGACACCCAGCAAGATAAATGATAAATCCATCTGACCTTCGATAAATATGGTTTGATGACTGAATATTGGCCAGCACACCGTGAGAACTCCCTACTCCTTATCAGAAAACCCACCGTGTGGAAGCGGGCTATTTGGTACACTGGCCTTCGGAACAGCGTCCCACCCAGACCCGCTTCCCTGCCCTATCCTTGTAAACCGTGCATTTCCCATGACTACACCACCTAGCCTGCACGTCCCTGCACACTAAACAATTTAGCATGGCCAATTGACCTAACCTTTGGACTGTGAGAGGAAACCAGAGCATCTGGAGACACCCAAACAGAACACGGGGAGAACGTGCAAAGTCCACACAGACAGTCGCCGATGCTGGAATCGAACCCAGGTCCCAGGCACTGTAAGGCAGCAGTGCTCACCTCTGAGTCATCCTTCACTTAGTGCCATTAGCTGACCCGTACATGATGGTCCTCAAACTGCCGTATGTAATATATCTTTTTAAAATGTTTTAGTCAGAAATTAACCAAGGAATCAGCACCAATAGATGACGGCATTTTGAGTTGACTCAGTTAAAGAGGAATGTAGTTCTGAACAGTTTCACAGAGCTAATGAGCCTTGTACTCTATTCTCACAGTTACAGGACCTGCACTATATTAGGTATAAATGTAAGATTTTGGGTGTGGGAGCCACAGGTGCCTAAAACAGGCAGTAGAGTATTGGTCAGTCATTTTAGGGTAGTTTCTAAAAACATAATTTACACATCATAGCTAAAGTTTTAGGTGTATTGGAAAAATATACAACCTGTGATTGATAAGAATACTTTACTGATTTCAGCGAATGCAAAGACAGTCTGCACAGTTAGGACAGCATTTTGCCTTCACCCAAGTATTAGAGAATTCTTTCCCTGGTCTTCCTTTATCTTCCTTCATCATCTTAAAGTGAAGCAGGTGGTTTTGCCACAACTTTAAGCTTGGTATATATACTTTGCTTCTTGCGTCTAGTAATTTAGGCCATGACATTCATTCCTTGAAGATTTCAAACCAATGAGTACTGAATAGCTGCCCAAGATGTTAACCATGTTTCCCCTCCATTTCTGCAACTAAACTTGAGCTCAAAACCACCTTTTTACTTACCTCATGCTGAGGGTCGCTTGTCAGCTTGTCCTGAACAATCATAGACAAAGGGGTGCTCAAGGTACTTATTGGGTCTGTAAAAGTAGAAGGCTGAATCAAGAGACGGAGACATTTTGAGGGACTGTTGATGCATTTTTGCAGAGAAAGGAAGAAAATAGCCTTCTGCTGAGATGCACTTCTACCATCTCATTATTATGTACCTATCTTGTACTATTTGCAAAAACAATCATCAAGAAAAGGCCCCATTTCTTAGATGCAGTCATATCAAATGTTTGTGACAGGGAAAGTGCCCATTTTGAAGGCCGGGGGATGAGGAGCGTGCATTTCCTACAAGCAGAGCCCATACAGCAAAAGAAATGACAATAAAGCAACAGATTGTTTGGCCCAACCAAGAATTTGGTTTGTTGGTTGTTGTCCCAAGATGTGATCGTTCTAGTTCCAGTTGGCCTGTCACGCCTGTGCAAGCTCTTGGAAAGAGCTGTTCAGTTTTGTCTCGCATTCCATCCTTTTGTATATAACTTTGCAAATTTGTCATTTCCAAGCAAACGTCCAGTAAGGCTCCTCAGGTCTATTACATTTCACATAGTTTATTCCAGATCTGAACAACCCTCTGTGTGAACAGATTTCTCCTCTTTTTAGTTCACTGGTTGTTTTTGCAAATTGTTTTAAATGTATGACCTCTCATTAGCTGCTTGCTAGCCTGGAAAACAGTTTATCCTTGCTCGCCAAGAATTCGACAATTGAACAAAAGTACTGGCATTGTATGCACTTGCTTGTGCATGATAAGAGAAGAAGCTGAACATGTATCATGTAATACTGCTCAAATTTCGTTGTTCGTGGATTTAACACTGTGCATTTCTCTCAGGGCAAATCTTGATTTAAAAAAAATTATTTGTGGAATTCCTTTTTCCTGGCAGGTACTGTTGTGTATGGGGAACCGATTACTGCAAGTCTAGGCACTGATGGGTCGCATTACTGGAGCAAGAACTGGGCTAAGGCAGCTGCTTTTGTGACTTCTCCACCACTGAGTCCTGATCCAACCACGCCAGACTATCTGAACTCCTTGCTATCTTGGTATGTTTGGTGCTGTTTCCCTAGTCACTTGAGCAACATGTTTTACGTAGGTGAAGTGTCATTTTGGACATCAGCAATTATGTATTCACAAGTTGGGCCAGATTAAGCAAAACCCATAATTCAAGTCTTTTGGTCCAAGTAGGGTTTTGATGCTATCTACTCCATCATCAACGAGCAAAGACTTAAAATATCATTGAAGACTTCACTTAGAAGGGGAAGAACAAATATAATCAGGATTATTCCGGCATTGAAGGATTTATTGCAAGTAGCGACTGAGACTAAAGCCTGACCATAATTTAAGTGTGAATTGTATCATATATGATGAAGGAAATTTCCCATTGATGACTGTTGCTACTGTTGATTGACGAAGCATGTGTGTTTGGTAAAAAGCTTCGCTCAGTCCTTCTTTCATTTCCTCTTCCAGTTATTATTCTAATTGTTTTTGCATATGTTCCACCAACATTCAATCAGACAGTCTGGCAAAATTTCCCCCTCAGACCAATAAGAATAATCCGAGAGATACGAAAATGTTTACACTCTTGACCCCTGCTTCTCAACTTCCTGCTACTTTTCGACGTTTTTATTCTTTGCTTCTGAGAGGATGAAAGAAATAAATTGCTGAGTTTGTATCAGGTTTTGACATCCTTGGACTGACTTATCCCCTCGAAGCCAATGAAATGCCTTTGAAATGTAATTGCTGTCGAAATGTAAAAGCTTGGCAGCCAACTTAAACACAGCAAGTTCCCTCAGCAGTAGCTGTCATGATGAGCAGGTCATCTCTTCCATGTGGTGTTGATGAAGGGATATAACTTAGAACACTGGAGACAGCTCCCCCACTCTGGTTCACAATAATGTCATGGGATAATTTGCATCTACCTTAGAATGTTGATTAGTTGAAAGAAGACACAAAGGCCACATCCATGCTTCTATTGGACTGTCAGCCCAGATTTTGTGTTGAAGTGTGCAGAGTGAGAACTGAAACTAAAATGTCAGACTCAAATGGAGGTGCTTTCCATGGAATACTTGCTAACAGTCTTACTGGTACATGACTGCAAAGTGTTGCTTCCTTGCATCATTGTCCAGGTGGCCCAGTCTGCAGTAAGGGGTTTGATGACTGAGCTAAGTTGTGCCTTGCCTCAAGTACTACCTAGTTAAATCTTAAGTCAAGTATTTTTTTGTCAACTGGGCCCATTGGCTGATGGGATTTGGAATTTGAACTATTTTCACTTCATTCAAACTCCGTGGTAACTGAAGTCAATTTGGATGTGTATTCTAGCTGTGCCTTGAGCAATTATTCTGCCCGTGTAAATTACTTTAGTTTGTGTAGCTTAGTACCACAGTCAGACTGAAAGTCCTTTTAAACATAATTTTATGTTTTATCAGTCAGTACGTTGAGTGGATTCAGTAAGCACCCCTGTTGACCGTCAGTGTTTCTATGTATCTTTTGCCTGTATTTACAGTGGCGATCTGCAGGTCACTGGCAGTGCACACTGTACTTTCAATACATCTCAGAAGGCTTTAGGCAAGGATGATTTCACGCTGATTCCTGAAGGTACGAATGGAATTGAAGAGAGGATGTCCATTGTTTGGGATAAAGCTGTGGTAAGTACCACGTTGTCATGGAAAGATTTAAGAAACCATTGAGGTTATGATGAAAGAAGGCTAAGAAGCAACCCTGTCAAGAAACTGCTGAGATGTAACTTGCTCCTTCAAGGCAAGGCTGAGTAATAGAACAGGGTTGCACAAGTTAAAAGGTCCAATCCCAATGACGTTGATCACTGTAGACCCTCTCAAAAATTCTTTACGTGTGTGATTGAGCATGGTGATATTTGTATCTTGTGTCATGAGGAATGTAACGACAACAAGGTGGGGATGCACTAATTAGATTGAGTGGGAAGTATTCTAAAAGCTATGAAGATGTGTTGGATGCCTTTGTGGTATCACCAGTGACCAAGCAGTGCTTTCCAATGGAAATGTTTCTTGTCACAATACAGGTCTCTGGAAAAATGGATGAAAATCAGTTTGTAGCGGTGACCAGCACCAATGCTGCCAAGATTTTTAACTTGTACCCCAGGAAGGGGCGTATTGCAGTGGGATCAGATGCTGACATTGTGATCTGGGACCCTGACATTGTCAAGACAATTACTGCAAAGAACCATAGCCTGGTAGGTTGACTATTTCAGTCCAAGTAAACACACCAGTCCGTCACTTGTTCCGCAGTGGCAAACAAATAATTGTGTGTAATTTTGTTAGTTTCACCAAAGTCAAAAGACTCCAAATAGAAATGTTGACCAGGAGTCAGAGTTTTTTCTGCCCCCTGATTATCACTTGGGCAGAGGTCTCCCATTTAAGCAGGACGTCTTGTGCTACAATTAATGCTGAAGTCGTTAAGTTCACGAACCTCTCTCGAAATGCCCAGAAATTCACTCGGTATTGGTGATACAAACTGGGTAGCCAACTCTTCAAATCTGGTAGCTGACTTGATAGAAATAATTTCAAAAGATATGTTTTCAGCCAGGAGCCAGAAAACAAGGAACATTGGGATGCGTTTTAAGTTTTTTGGTCCTTTTGAACAACCGTTTCTGTTTCAGAGATATTGGTCAAAACTCCATTTTTATTTGCTATAGAATGGTGTAGCACAGACAGAAGCCAATTAAGTGTCAGATATGTGCCAATCAGTCCCACATTCCTTTCTCCACTGACTCCAAAATTGCTGTCAAAATTGTTCCACCACCATTTGAGACCGCGTGCTTTCCAGATCGCAGTTTAGGTTGGTAAACAATTTGGAAATGGTAAGAGAATAAGAAAGACTTGTGATGAAGACTGACTTAGTGAGCATGACCAAGTGAGGAAGAGGCAGAATAGAGAAAAGTTGGTGCAATGTCCAGGTCAATGGCAAGTACAGCTAAGTTGATTATACCAGATGCTGCCAGGATCTACCTTGGTCTGACTCCACTGATCTCAGTGGAATTCAAACGCAGTTGGGATAGGGAGAGTAAACATTTGACCAGGCTTCTTGCATCCGATCTCTGTCCTGTGATCTTCAGTGGAAATGTCCTTGTTCAGGAATGCTGACTGAAGATGGAATCGTGTTCAATTGTTATGCCTTTCGCGGACAAAAAGGTCACCAGGACTCTCTCCTCTGTTTTGGACATGGAGAGCAACCAGTTCCACATGTTTGCAGAGAGGTGTCCAAGGAACAAAATTCCATGGGGGAGGAGGGAAAATGGGGCAAAAGGATCAAGAATGCATTTTGCAGCATGGATGTGATTTCTGTGCAGGTGACTGCTGCATAATCCATGATCCTCTCTGCTGTTTCTATTTTGTTACAATCAGGCAGTGGAGTACAATATTTTTGAAGGAATGGAGTGTCGTGGGGCACCCTTGATTGTCATAAGTCAGGGTAAAATTGTCTATGAGGATGGCACGGTGCATGCATCAGAAGGCTCTGGACGCTTCATCCCCAAGAAACCATTCCCTGACTATGTATACAAGAGGGTTAAAGCAAGGAGCAAGGTAATTACTTATCTAGATTGTCAAAAAAAGTGGCTTTTCCATGACGTGCTGTGAAGGCTGTGTTGCCGAAATGTCTGTTGAAGATCATGTATGACTCTGACTCTGCAAAGCTTTGATGCAATTCAGTATAATTGAAAAATCAATTAGCTCTTACACTGGCAAGACAAACAGAAATTGCTGAAGAGTCTAAGCAGGTCTGGCATCTTCTCCACCACTTCAATTGTGTTTCAGATTTCCAGCATCTGTATTTTAACTTATTTGTGTCCTGTTCAAATACAATAACTTTGGATTTCTGGAAGGTAAGCACAGACATGGAATTTTAACCTGGAAAGTTTTTTTTTGGACAGCAGTTACGAAGTCTCATTCCACATTTTGATTGTAGACTGGTACTGCTGCACAATGCCTAAATGCCCTTCAGTTTTGACATTAAACTGAGACCTGTTTCAGTGGATCAGCTGGACAGTGAAGATCGTACCACTGCATTTTGAAGCATCTTGTGCACTGAGTTCATCTGCTGATTTGATGTGCTCAACTCCTGCTAGGGAAGACAAGCACAGATCGATGTTTCCAAAGTGCAAGCAGACAAAACAGTCTGCTCACTCTTGAGCATGAGTGTCGCAAGTCTTGCTTTTCTGCCGTGTGCTTCCATGTGTGTCTTACACTCTCTCTCTGTCTCTCTCTCTCTCTGTCTCTCTCTCTCTGTCTCTCTCTCTCTGTCTCTCTCTCTCTGTCTCTCTCTCTCTGTCTGTCTCTCTCTGTCTCTCTGTCACTCTCACTCTCACTCTCTCACACACACCTGTTGCTTCAACATAGGTGCTTGCACTAAAAACTTCAAGTATTGTTCACTCTGTATGAAAAGATTTTTTTTGATACTCCTGTTATCTGCATGGAATCCACAACCCCTATGCTACATTCACAGTTGCTTTATTGCTAGGTCTAAAAAGAGGTGCCTTGATTAAGAACCTTTTGAGGTTTAAAATTTCACTCCAAGTGTAACTGACTTAATTAATTAAATCAGCTGCATTAAAACACTGCACTTTGGGGTATCGCATGTGAGAGTCAGTTGTGTTTACATCTTGATCACATGGGTTTTAACATCATCACTTTTTCTCTGCCAGTTAACTGAACTGCGAGGAGTTCCCCGGGGGCTCTACGATGGTCCTGTCTGCGAGGTTTCAGTGACGCCCAAATCCGTCACACCTGCTTCCTCTACTAAGACTTCACCTGCCAAGCAGCAAGCACCGCCTGTGCGAAACTTGCACCAGTCAGGATTCAGTTTGTCTGGTAAATGTGTGTTTCCTGTTTTATTACCTCTCAAAATAATCATAAGGTAGTCTAATATTTGTATTCAGTTTAATTCTCAACCAGTCTTTGAGTCAGACATTGATCAGTTATGTAGAATAAGTTAACTTGTGATTACTTTTGTTCAAGTCTGTGATCTTTAATAATGTAAGCTAGCAGTGCAATTATCTGTCTTAACTGGACTGATTTAATATGTGCTCACTGGTGCTTTCTCTCATTCGCGTTCTGGCAAGGGGTAGAGTGGTCTTGGTGAAATGTACGTTGCTGAGTTCAGCTGGGCTCCTTATCAGAAAGGGAATATATCATTGCTGCTTCAGAACATGATCTGTTCTGGCCCAGAGAATGCATGAGTCAGCAAATAATGAGACCTAACCTGCTGATAGTTTGAATCTCAGATCGTGAAGGCAAACTGTGCATATCAAGAGTGCTCACTGTAGTCACGAGATGAGCAATGGTGACAACAACAAAAAGTTGCCAATGAGAAAGTGCTCACTGCAGCATAAGAGGGCATTGGATTATCCAGACCCTGCAGTCTGCCAAGATGTCTTGAGCTTTCGTGGAAATTCAGAGGGTAGCACGGTGGCGCAGTGGTTAGCACTGCTGCCTCACGGTGCCAGGGACCCAGGTTCGATTCCACCCTCGGGCGACTGTCCGTGTGGAGTTTGCACGTTCTCCCTGTATCTGCGTGGGTTTCCTCCGGGTGCTCCAGTTTCCTCCCACAGTCGCAAAGGTGTGCAGGCTAGGTGGATTGGCCATGCTAAATTGCCCATAGAGTTCAGGGATGTGCAGATTAAGTGGGCTATGTGGGATGGGTCTGGGTGGCATTGTCTGAGGGTCGGTGTGGACTTGTTGGGCCGAAGGGCCTGTTTCCACGCTGTTGGGATTCTATGACAAATGTGCACTTTAACCAGTTGTTTCTGCACCACAGAATATTGAATATTGAGCAAGTGGGCGGGAAGAACAGAATTTTTGATGTGTTACGCTTCAGGGAGTCAGTGCGTGGGTGGATTGGTGGATGCTGGTTACCATGGGGAGAATTGAATATTTTTAAGGATATGTACCTCTCTCTGCATTCTAATGTTTTTTCCTCTCCCATCCTTTCCAACAGGTGCACAGGTGGATGACAATTTGCCTCGTCGTACTGGCCAACGCATTGTAATGCCTCCTGGTGGTCATGCAAATATCACAACGCTTGGATGAACATCCATTCTGCTGTGGTGTTGGCAGAGCCATCAGCTTTTTTTCATTTTTTTTTAAGAGCCTGTGACGGTTACTGTGGACAAATAATCCTAGGTTTGTGTAACAGCCCTCCCCCCCCCACCTCCCAGTATTATAATTATCACCAAGAAAACAAATGAAGAGAAATATTCTCATTCTTAAATCCTGCACAGCATTAAGACACATAGAACATTTAGTGATGAAAGAACTTCAGCACCCATCTGGTTTGTAGGAGATAGGAGTGGTTTCCTGGGACTGTAGATTGTTGTAGAATAGAGTTGTTGCCAATGTTTATTCTTAAGCTGCATGGTTGAACAGTGATCAGGTTCTCGCATGAAGAGGAATAAGGTGGCCTCTTGACAGTTACTCACTTGACTAATTAGGCCGCTTGTGAGAGAGAGAGAAATTGAAGTATCGTTTGTTATCATTGTAGCAGAGTTCTAATTCAAACTCTGAGATGGTGCTGTTTACTCAGTGCCAGAACATAACTTCCTCTCTGTTTATACTCTAAAGTAATAAATAATCATCTACAAATATTTAACTGTAATACTTCTTGAATTTGTTGGGTTAAACCTTTATTCTCAAAAATGCACACTTAATATAATTTTAAATTTTCTGATAATGCAGCTGCTGATGAATTCGGTGTTAGGTTCTTCAGGGAATATTTTATTCATGGAAAAACTGGCCACTGGAAATCTGAATGAACAAGGTGTTAATAGGTACGACAAGGGCTGAAAATGGCATGATGCGTTGATATAAACTCAGTTGCAGCCTCTGAGGTGTCTGCTGTAAATTTCCAGCAACAAGTGGCCTTCACTGTGTATCTAGAATACCATTTGCTTGCCAAGTGTGAGTACCAATCTGAATTCTTAAGTGTAACTGTTGTGCATGTGTGCGCATATACATAAAATACTGGCAGGATTTGTACAGAGAAATGTAAAGCCTCAAATATGTGAGGGAAAGGCTGATAGTAATCCTAATAGCAGAAGAATTGTCTTTTAATGATGAGGTTGTCCAACTACCAAGCTTGCTCTTCATTTGATCACGGGCTATCATCATTGCACCACGTGTAGATCTCTTCCTAGCTGCTCTGAGACATTGTCCACTTGCCCATCAGTCAGTATGTCGTGTTGTTTTGCCTACGTGATCTCAACAGGCTTCACTGTTGACTTCCTCTGTGGAAGCTCAAAATGCATTTTTCTTCTTTGAATTGATTTTTTTTTTCAGACTGCACACACTACATGAGCTAGTAGCATGTTCATTTATGACTTGCTTGAGTTTAGCACTGGATGATTTTAATACATAGATGGGAGAGTTTGAAAACTTAACTGACCACAGTGACTTGATGCTCAAAAACTCATTGTAGTTTTGAAATGTTGTCTTGATGGCTTTTTTTGCTCCTCCAATTCTGTGTTGTATTCTTACTGAAAGAAGTACTTTGTGTTTTCATGGCATTCATGTTGATAAGGTTCTCCTGTTGTACTTTTCTTCCCTCTGCCATTGTTGTGTTTAATAAAGGTCTTGTGATTTATTCCATAAGGGAAGATTGATAAAACATCATGGTTTACTGACATGAACTGCTAATAAAACAATTACTGTTTAAAATATTTTTGAGTGGGTCTGTTAAAGCTGGTCTGTCTGTTTTTCTGTCTGTTCTTCTAGCTGCAAGGATCAATCTCTGGTTCCTGGCCAATATTTATCCTTCAACACATATAACAGCAGATTGACCCAAACCTCCTTGTTTCATGACTCTTCAAGATGAGGCATAACACCCAAGATGAGCAGAGGAATTCAGGGGAAGACTTGATCTGCTGATGTCCATGGGTATTGCTGGGCAAGTTAATACTTCTGAGAGGTGATTCCCCTGCTCCCCAAAACCCTCTGCAAATGTCTCGGGCTCTAAGTTAGAGTTGGATGGAGAGCTTGGACAGTTCAAACTTAGTGCTTGAGTAGCCACCCAGGTAATGTTGGACTGGTTAAAAGTTAGTTTAAGCTTTGAGTAAGAACAGAATTGATTCACCCAAGTGCTCACACTGACCCGGATGACTAAATGTCACCCCTACCTAAACTAGATGTTTGACTTAACCTCCTGACCCTTAACTACACCCCAATATGAACCAGATTGGAACAGCTTTCCCAACAGCACTAACCCCTAATTTAACACCCTGACCACATCCATGTTTCCACTCTGCCACCCCTCCCACTGAGACCATCCAGTACCTCTACATCTCTCTATTCTTACCAGCTGCTTCCCCCATTCAGTCCTTCACTGACATTTATAGGGAAAATCTGAACTTGTCTGAAAGCACCAATTGCAGGAAAAAACAAGAGGTGCAGCTTGTTCTTTCCCCTTGATTCTACAGCACTGTCATTAGAGCTCTGTGAGAGACTGTATTCTGCATTGTTGTAAAAAGCAGGCTCAGAAGACCAATCAAGAAAGGCAGAGCAGATTTAGGTGCAGGCAAGTTCATGGAGAGAGGTAATCGAAGATGATTTTCATAGACATTATTTGACAATTGATCATCTTGGTGTTAGTGGGAATTTTTTTGAGCAAATTATCCATCTTGTTTTCCATTCTGTAAGTCATGGATTTATAAATAAACTGCATGAAATTGTCATTTATTTTGGCTTGTCTAAAGTTTGTGCACTGAGATATAGATGGGTTAATTCATGAATCAGTGCATCTTTGCACATGAATTTGGGCAATATTGTTCATGTCTCAGTTGAGGACTGTCAATGAGCTTAGTTCGTAAATACTCCATGAGGTACCAGTTGTGAGGATGGGTTGTTGGTGAGGTTGCTGAGTGATGACTTCACATTGCCTCCTTGCTCTGTGAAATACAACCACCCATCAGTCATGTGTTGCAGAGGACCAAGTAGAAATTGTGGGACAAGTGAAGCTGGAATGCATCAGCATGTTGGCAGTGGTGAGTTGGTATTGTGCATTTTGGTTGCTGCATGGTCAGTCCATACTCGTTCTTCTGTTGCTCCTTCCAAGTCAGAAGGTACGGAGGGATTTTCTGGAGGAAACCCCCTCATGGTTTGGAAGCCATTACTTCATCACAAATGAAAGTCCAAAGCAGATGGGATCAGTTTCGAATGGCATCACGATGGCTCAGATGCATTGGGCCAAAGAGCCTGTTGCTGTGCTGCACTGTTGTATGAACTGCATGCGTGAAAATAAATAGCCAAGTCAAACAAATGAGAAACAATATCCAAAACTTGGGATTTGGAGGTACTTTTTGGGAATTGACACTTTTGAGAATTGGGATATTATTACTCAATGCTTTTAGTCTCCCCAGCTACTGTTGAAGTCAACCAGCAGTTTTGAATGTGAGAATCATTGATGGATGATTGCTTGTATTTGTATTTATAGTTGACAAAATTGTGTGAAGAATGTCTCCTGAACTGATTCCATCTTCCACTCTCCAAAAATAACTTGTCTCGTTTTGGTTGCAGATTTTAGTAGTGGACTGAGGGAGCGAGAACTATTTAAGATCTTTTGGTTGGCTTACTTGGTTGACCGGCTTAATTGTCTTTTTCATTGCTTTGATGCCACTTGTTCAACAATGTCTTGTAGAAGCACAGGTGGCATTAGCAGCCAAACAAAGCACCAGGTAACACGAGTGGCAAAGAAGATAATAGAAATTCACTAACTCTGTCTCATTTACAAAATCTAATGGGTGAAATGGATAACAAGAAACCTGGGTTTTTGCCCTTGGACAACTTAATAGGAGTTGGCCACTGATCAGAAATATTTACATAGTCTCTTTAACCCTGATGGTTGTATTTACTGGCATCCATTGGCACACAATGCAGCAACATCCCTTCCTTTTACGATAGTCACCTCTTTTTCAGGTTCCTCCATTGCCTCATTCCTCCCCAAATCAGTGATCTCCTCAAGCTGCATGTGGTATAAGGCATATAACATATGATCATCAGTTGGAATCTCAAAAGAGGGGCAACAGCATTTTTTTGTCTTTTGTGATGGCTTCTTTTTCCTCGAGCAGTCAGAACATCATTTGGAATAGTGAGCTAAACTTCCCCAAAAGCATATGTTCCAATCAAATGCCTTGCACCGTGCATATGGTGTCAGTGGATAAAATAGTTACATTGCAGAGATTAGTGTGGACAGGGAATAAAAGATCAAAAACCATTTGATTAGCTTTGACTTCAGAAGAGAATCTCACCCTCGTAAAAAGGTTTCAGTCTATGATGCCTCATGTATAGATGTTTTCAAGTTGTGACAAAAGAAAAGAGGTTCCGGTCATGGCGATTATAAAAGGTTCCAAATGGGCCAGGTTAGAACAACAGGAAAACAATCATTTCAGTGAGGAAATAATGAAGATTTGAGATAGGAGTGCTGACTCCCTGGGATTGAATATTTGTGAATGTTATCACTGCGGAATAAGATAACACTTGGATTTGCTGTTCATCTTATGATCTTTGTTAACTCTGGTAAAAGGCTTTGTTTTGCTATTTTTTTAAAGCACTAATTTGGTGTCTTTTATTGAAGAAGATTTGCGGTTTGATGTTTTCAAGTTCACTGAGTAATCACAATGAAAAATAAATGCATAAGTCAAACTTTGAATCTGTCAAGCCTGGTTTAATTCGGGGACTTGACATGCCCAATGTTCCAATCAGCTGGGATCATAGCACCAAAAAAGACTTGAAGAGCTTTGCCATCTTCCATTTGCGGCATAGTGCAAATCTCCAATTTCTTCCACTCCGGTATTAAGAGTTCATGTCTTCTGCGTAGATCTTAAACGTGAAATTTCCTCTGGGAACCTCTCCCTCTTGTACTTGACTCAGTTTCTTAGAGTCCAGCTCTGTGACAAAGTTCATTGTTATGTATACTAACATTTCCTGGTGTCGTTTGGTGTCCAACTTTGACACTGCTTCTGTTTAGGGCCATACCTTTCTAGTGGAGTGATGGTGGTCAAAGAAGAAAACACAGTTGACAGTTTGTAAATTTAAATAGCAGGCCAATTGTTGGAACCATATTGCTTCAGCTGAGACTGAAAAACAGCACGTGTGGATTGGACAAAGGAGCCTTCTCACCACAGAGCTTGGAATGGAACCTCTGAGTTCAGTACATTTGGAAAGAAATGCAGTTGTTTCATGGAGAAGGAGAATTATGCCTTAGTCCAAGTTTTTCTGGCTTTGTTCACTTGGGAATCCTCATTGGCCAGGAGAATGTGAAATGGAAGTAGCGTGCTTGGATGTCAAACAGGGCTTGATTGATGTCAGGGTGTTTTTGCAGCTGGTAGCAGCAGACTGGGAGAACATCAGGTCAAAGTTGGATTCACTTGACCAACTGTGCTGACTTACTGCTGTGGTGCCACTTGTTTAAGAATGCATACCAGAGGAATGGGTGGCATTTATAGACCAGGTACCTGACCAGATCACACAGACAGACATTAAGATGGCAGAACTTAACAGACTCTTTTAGATTTGGAAAGGAACAGTAAATACAGATTGTGTGGGTGCTGTGCAGGAAACCTGCACACAATGATACTTGCCCAAGAAGGAAAAGTTGGCTATTGATCCAAGTCTCTCACCTTCATGTTGATGAGGATGGTTCTGTTACATTTGACCTGCAAAGCACTCACTTGAGGAAGAAGAGAAAATGTGCTTGTCCGATAACGAAACACACAAATCCAGCCTCGTGTAGATCAGCACAAAGCAAAATAATTTTGCTAGCTGTGATTTCACAAGTGTATGAATGACACACGCAATGCTGAACATTTGACAATTCAGTTTACCCTTACTTGCCTCCATCTGCACTGACATTGATAAAAATGCATGTCATGTAATCTGCAGATTAGCTTATCCCAGGTGCTTTGTCAGTCCAAACACGAAACAATTGATGTATGTTATAGCCAAACTAAATCAATTTCCTCAGTTTGTGAATAGTGAAAGCGTGACGATGGTCAGAAATATGGGGTAGTGTTGGGTGGAGGGTGCAGTCACCTTTGATGAAATAAAGTGCCCTTTTTGCCAAGAAAGGAATATTTGAAGTCACTGCCATAGGAATTGCAAAGACAGCAAAAACCATTCAAAGCCAGTTGATATGTCAGTTACAAAATGACTTACAGCTGAATAATTGAGTAGTACAGTCAAATTAAGTGCTAAAAATAGTGACATGGTAATGTAACTGGCAATGGGATAATAGGTTACAAATAAATATAAACAGGTTTTTAAGTCACTTGTGAAAAGACGAAGAGATGTTATTCACAAATGGCACTAGTACTTGGTGGAAAAGTTACGATTTCAGATTCTTGTCGGATTTCCCTCTGCTTAAATCATCTCGCATGAAAAAGTAGACATTAAAATGGCAATCATTAAGCAAAATGTCTGTGCAACTTGAAGTGAGCTTAAAGAGATCTGTTGCTCCTTTTGTAAACAGAGGTGAGAATTTTAATTCATAGATAGTAGGAACTGCAGATGCTGGAGAATCCGAGACAGCAAGGTGCAGAGCTGGATGAACACAGCAGGCCAAGCAGCATCATAGGAGCAGAAAGGCTGATGTTTCGGGCCTAGACCCTTCATCAGAAATGGGGGAGGGAAAGGGGGTTCTGAAATAAATAGGGAGAGAGGGGGAGGC